ATTTATACATGAAAGTTAGGAACTATTACTTAAATCGTGTAACAATAATATAATTATAAAATTCATCATTTATTGCAGTCTAGCATTTGCCAATTTGAAAACCTTAATTGGAAACTTATGCCCATAAATATTTCAACTTTAAGAAGATGTTAATTGACAACTTAAAACTTAAGAAATTGCAAGAGATAACCATATTTAAAAACAACATTAATGCTTCTGATTGGATTTCAAAATAATATCTGATATTGTATAGGTTCGCTATGATGTTGATGCTATGATGTATGATGCATCTTACTGAGCAACTAAAAATTCACCAAGCATACTTATGTCTGGTAGTATCACTTGATTACTCAGAAAAATAAATTCCTAATCTGTTGTTAACCAACATATTATTTATGCTATCAGTGAACTTCCTAGGTAACTTTTACATTCACAGGGAGAGTACCTTCAAGATAGAAGATGGTAAAAAGAAAGAGGTGTCTGTTGTGCGAACTGAATTTGAGCTAACTGATGAGGCTACTGATAAATTCAAAGCAATCCATGATGAATGGGAGTTCGAAGTGTGAGAAAAATCCCCCAGATGCACTGTTTAAAGGTAACTTCAGAGAAAGTCATTTTAGTGAAAATTCCTCGGACACATTATTTAGTTTTTGGTTCAACTTAACGTTCAACCTTACAAGGAGTTGCAAAATACAATGTGTGAACAATGGCAACATCTCAAATTAATTTCCATGCAACTTATTACAACCCAACATTTATTTTTGCATTCAATACAGTCGCTCCACATTGCAGAAACTATGAATCGAAGAGCTTACTCATGATCTAAATGAACATTCATCTACCAAACAAGTATATTTTAAAATTATACTTTTATGAAAAACATTATGTTAGGAAATGCACACTTACAGCAAATTCCCAGCAGAGCTACTATGTTCTTAAACTTAATATGCCTAAAATGCTGTATATCATTGAGTTTGAGTTTTTGTTTATTTTCTGAATGTTGTAGGTATTTATTCGAGTGGAAAATCCTATGTGCTTCGCTTGGGAGCTCCCATTAAGCTGCTGTTGAAAAAAAATTACAACCCTCGGATGACAAGGTAAACTGCAACAATTTTTTTCAATGTATTTACCCAGTAAAAAATTCAAAACAATTTCTATTGAAAATAACATCTTGTCCTAATAATAATCTGAGGTTTGAAACCCGGTAAAGGTAATTAGTGGATTCTTAACCAAGATATTCC